GCGGCGCCGACAACGACAACCTCCCAGCTCCAAAATCTAAACCGCTGCACACACTCAGGCTCGGACGCATGAAATCCTGGAGGATCATCTGCAGCAGCGGAAAATCGATCTCCACTCACCAAACAGGCGGCTCAAAACTGTCGCACAAGCCGAAACCCCTGAGCCCTAAGCACCGTCTTCGCAAGGTGACAAAAGGCCCTGGGTCCGAAATCCGAAACGAAAGGGCTGCATCGCATCGGACAGGGCGTCCCACAAGCAGAACCTTGACTGGACGAAACTTCGCCGCTGGGTGACTGGGAGCCGGGCAAGAGCGATCTGCCAGGCATTGCAGTCGTCGTCTATTGTTTTCAGCCGTCCTCCGGCCCTCAGTGCTGATGCGGTTTCACCGGCTTTTCGGGCTTGCGGCTCGGGGCTTCGGCATCTCCGACCCGCATGCATCGAGCTCGACCTGTTCCCTGCCGCACCGCTCTGTTTGGTGCTCACCGTAAAGCCTCTCAAGTGTCTGTTCAATACATCCCCAGGCAACGAACGAGATTTGGATTTGGGGTTCTACACTGAATTCTTTGTCCACTCCTCAAAAACCCGGCTTTGGCTGCCCGGCAGGACGCGGCGCACGGCATCCTCTTCCTCCGCTGGCCTTTAGCGTGTCCGCTCAAAACCCCTCTGTAGGCAACGCAGCTTGGGGTATCCAGAAACCTGGCAATTTGGTCACCCCGGCATTGGGCTACCCAGCAGAGTGCGGCTGGCAGCGCTGCCAGCATCAGCCTCCTCGGCCTTTGGAAAAACACAACAAGCTCCGTGACTATGCCCGAGGCTCCCAGATTCTACTCCACGACCGTGGAAGGTGAGAAAAAGACATGAACGAGGGCCCGGCATGCTTCTGCGATGGTGTTTATACGGAGCTGAAGGAATCGAATCTAGCTTGACCGAAAAGAGTTGAAACTCGCTTCTGTTCTTCGTTAAACCTTGCAGCCCTGCTGGTACATCTGGGCCACACTGTTTTGACAGGCTTTGCGTGGCTCATGCTCGAAGCGACGAGCTCAAAAGGGGCCACAGATCAGGGACCCCACCATGGTATCGTTGGGGTCTCAATGCACA